AACGACAAGAACAAAAGTTTTTTGAATGTTAAAAAATAAGACAGGACATTTTGTTTCCTTTTCTTATACGAAAGCAGAGATTGACAAGTCCAGTATTTTTTCAGTCCCAGTCTAGTCCAAGTCTCGTGGGAAAAAGTGTGTCAGTTCGGACTTGGACTTGCCCATCTCTGTTTCATCTTTTGTGAATATAAGTCTATAGAATTTAACAATTATAGATGATGTAAAACGATTGTATTTTGCATAATAGCTGTTTTTGTATTGGTGTTTTTTTTATGAATTCAAGTTTCATGTGCTCTGCAAGAACTGTTTTTCAAGTCTTTAGAGAATGCGAGTTTCTTCCTGTTTGGGTCTTGACTAAATCTTTTTCAAATACAGCATGACTTGATGACTATGTTATTCATCACACACTTCAAGGCATTGTGTTCAAACCTCGGCACCATGAAGTCGAGAAAAGTGCTCGCGTTGCGCGAAAGTACTCTGCGTCAAACTAGTCTTCTGTCGAGATCTGTGATTTCTGACTAAATAACGATAGAGGTAGGCCTGCAAAAGTTGACGTTTCGTCGTGAAAGGTAAAGCACGCTGGCATTCTTTGAACGTGAACGTTAAAGCACTGGTGAACGTGAGCTTTTTTTATACGAACGGTGTTCATATTGTCTGACGTAAATATAAAATTCTGTTTTTTTACTGTAGAAAGAACATATATATTTCTGCTTGGCCTTATCTAATCAATAGAAACTCTAGTGAACGATCAGATGGTCTACTCAGGGCAGTGATCAGATTATTGCAATGTAAAAAGGATAGCCGTTGGTTCTCTGATCATGGATTCTTCCAAAAACAGATCCCCGATTTCCTGATCACTCAAGTCAAACAATCCGACCATAGGATCCTACAAGATTCTTACAAGATCCTACGTAGGATCCTACCAAACCCACATAGGATCTTGTAGGAAAGACGCAAGACTTCTTTGTCTTGGATTTATCCTACACTTTCCTGTCGTAGGATCCAATTAGAGGGCTTATAGGATCTTACGTAGGATTTTATAGAAATCCTGGCATATTTGAAATCAAAATATTCAGTCTTAAATCAGCTGTTTATTTACTGCTAGCTTTATTTATTTACTTTCTCTCTTTTGGGTTCTTTCCCAGGACTGGGATGAACCCAAGAACAGTGAGTGAGCTTCCATGTTGATGTTCACATTGTTCAATGCCAAAAATTGAGCTTATTCAACTCGACTTTTAATTGTTTTCAGCGTCGTATTTATAACTGTTTTTCTGACAAACAAAACGGTGAATAGAAAAGACGACAGAACAGAGAAAAATAAGAATCCTATGAAATCCTATCGTAGGATTTCATAGAATTTTATAGGAATCTTACAATAAGAATCCTAGTAGGATTTTCGCTGCGATCCTGTGGTAAGATTCATATAAGATCTTATAATAGGATTTGTATAGGAAATTCGTAAGATTCCTACAGGAATCCTATGATATCCTATCATCTATAGGATCCTACATAGGATTCATTGACCTGGGCAGAAGACCAGTTTTTCCCACATTGGAACCGAAGTTCTTTTGTCCAAACTATTTCAGTAACTACATACGTTTTCCTTTGTTACTGTAACCCATTTAGATCAAACGCGTGTTGATTTTTCACTAAATATAACTGGTAATGAAGAAAGCTGTTTCACTTGGTAGTACTAGGTGAAATTGCTATATAACGTTTTGCAATAATATTCATTCTACACAAGATCAAACATATAAAATAAAGTTCACGTTCAACAGAACATTCGCGTTCACGTTCAAAAAACGTCATGTTTAACGTTCACGTTCAAGAAACGCAAACGTGCTTTAGCGTTACGTTCAAAGAGAACGCTAAACTTTTGCAGGCCTAGACAGGGGTGACCATTTCAGAAGTTTATCAGCTGTAGGGAAGATATTGGACTACTGGAACCAACACTGTCAACACTCTATACTGGTAATGGTAGTCGTAAGACGGGATGTTCTTCCTTCTTTCCTTCAAAGTGAATATTCACAAGTTTTGCAAATTTAATACATAATCAAAGGCCTGGTTGAAAGAAAGTATCAAATACTGGCATTTGATTTTCCATGTTCGTATACATCTAATGTAGATTATAAAAAATTTGATAAGATAAAATTTCAACTATCTGCTTCAGTAATAAAAAATAAATTGCCTGCTTGTGTAACGATAGCTAACGATTTTTATGAAAAGATTTTCAAAATTCTATTCTTGTAAATTTCGACGTTTGAATACTTTCAGTTTATAAATATATATGTCCTTTCTGATACATGACTCATTAACTACTAAAAGGAAAACTTTAGGGAAAATTTGGTAATGCTATTACACGAAGCTAGTATGTATACAGATGGATCGAACTTCATCATAAAAGGAAACAATAACAATTCTTCGTTTGGGAAAAGAGCATAAAAATTAGCCGTCCTGCATATCTCTGGTTTAATGAATGTTTTTCTCAGTACAGAGCGCCATTAGTTTTTCATTTTCTTTTATATTTTATAAATAATTCACAACTATAAATTTAGACCGATAATGGGACACAACGTCGTTTCGATTGAAAGCGAAACCAGAAATAGTCATCTTCTCTCTCTTCTATCATGTTCATATTAATCTTTTAACCTTCTCATCTACACGATGGTTGTTACTGAACAAACTTCATTTCATCTCGAACATTTTCTACCGTTAGAAAACACGATTCGTCAACTAATTTTAAACGAAGAATCACTGCTAAAAACAACATTCACATTACAGAAAGAACAATTTGTAGATATCAATAAGCTTTTAGACTCAAATAAAGAAAAATATCGTTTAGCCGCTAATATCAGTCAACAATCACAACGTTACATGTATATGAAAGATATATTTATCGATTTAGTCGATAATCAAAAATTTCTGCTAGATTGCATCAAACGATTCTATGGAAAAAAGTGGAAGCAGAAAAATAACATCGAAAATATGTCCGAACAATGTAAGGAAAGTTCTGATATCTTTTAAGTAATACCTCAATGGTAGAATCACACTTGAAATATTGTTATCGTCGTATGTGTTTACCAAAGGTTTCGTTAAATAATGTACTGTACTCTACTGATATTACAACGATTAATGATAACATATCCAATATTTGATAACAGATCTAACCTCACTAACGTAAATAAATTTCGATAACGATTTTAAATCTCTTTTGATATATCTAATGTTAAATGAGACGGATTCTGATGCCTGTGTTTAGTAACTATAACAAAATCTGATGGAACAAATCCAATGATTAGCATCAATGTTGAAAGTGTTGAAAAATTATTAAATCAAATACTGCACAATGAAACATCGTCGATAAATCGGTTAGAACGAATGTATTCAATGTTGAAAAATTATAAATCGCCTAGTTTCAGTAGAAGATCTCATTTGAAACGAAACATATATAAAATACCTACAACGTATGAGAATACCACAATTTCACAGATAGAACAACAAAATGAGGATCAGAAATCAAATTTGCTCATCTCAACAATTGTCACTGATATTGCTAAAGTAAATGAAACTAAGACTCAACATTGTGTGGAAGGGAATATCAAAGATGATCAAATAATCTGGTTAGCAGTTGTTCTGTTTTTCTCCAGAATATGATGATCCCTTCCCTTGTTTTAGTCCAGGTGTATCTCTCACTCGAGAAGCAGATGTCAACATACTATCGCTTTATTGGCGTTCATCACTACCCACTGCTCAAAACTTCGATTTGATTCCTATGTCGCTTTCTCGTTGTATTAGTCGTCAAATATATATTCGTAAAAGCCAGCATAATCTATGGTTACCTCTTCAAAAAGAATTGGATCGCTTTTGGTTTATAAAATGGAACTTTCCTAAACTTATGCCAACTAATCGGATGTTACTAAAAAATTCAATACGAAGTATTGGTAATCCAGCAAAGACCAATGGTCATTTAATGAGTGATCAATGCAAGTAGTAATAACACCAACAAATACATTCGATTTTGCAGCTTTCGATAAAGTGAGAAATTGAAAGGATAAAAAGTTCGACTTCTCCACAGCTAAACGAGCACGAAACCCTCGATTTCAGAAATAGTGGCTGACTAAAAGGAAAAGTGGATCTAGAAGTAGAATTTTTTGTAGTGAAGAACAATAAGCCGCTCCGAGCTTTACTCTGTTATACACACACCGAATTTCGACGAAACCACAATAGAGAAAACAAAATATTTTCTCTTACAATGAAAGTTGCTCAAAAGTCGTTAGAGTGAAAACATGAGAAATTTGCAGGACAAGTGAAATATATTTCTAATTTTCACAGCATATAGTTATTTGATAGATGTATTACGAAAAATATTTTCAAGTTAAAATTCTTTTTTATTAGTGAGTCATAAGAAAAACAAGTTACAGCAAAACGCCACGAATAAAAAATCATCGATTTCTCAGCAATGAAGTAGCATGGGCCCAAATCCTCTTAGGCTTTTTCGTACAATCATTAGTACTATTGATCACCAAAATACGAGCTTGAAACTGTTTACTACTGACGAGGTTCCCTCGTTAGTGGTAAAAATGGGTATCCTGGGAAAAACTAAGGATTTTGAAAAACCGCAAATAAAATAAAGTAATTGACACACCTCTATGCATCCTAATATAAAAGACTACCATAAGTAGTATCACCTTTATTAAAGAATATTATAAGACCTTTTTATGTCTTTATATTGTATTATTAATGTAATATCTTTTTCTTGCGTATTCATTAAAACTCGTACTTGCAAAAGCAGACAATCATTGCTAACAATTGGTACATAAACCAATTGCTGTGCATATATAATCACGAAGAAATTTAGTTTCCACAGGTTTAACTGTTACTTGTCAAAAATCTGTTGCATATTTTTTTGTGTTAATCAAAAGAAGTTTCAAATATAAAATAAATAGAAACAAATTCCTAAAATGTACAGAACAGTTCTGTAGATCAAAGGCTTTCAAGCTTTACGGAAGTCCTCTATTTTTCAATTCTTGCATCAGTTGAACTCCAGCACATGGTGGACAAAAACAGCTCACACAGCAGTCATCACAAGAATCACCCTATAAACCAAGACAAAGTTATGCAATTCTTAAAGAGAAATTGATGTAAAACACACGTACTTTTATTTTGAACATTGTTCGTACTTTCATTCGATAGACTGCAACGATATTTGGCACGCATAAACATCCAGATAACGGCTCATTTATTTTCTTAGCAACTGATGCTATAAAACAACACCAGCAACAAAAGGCATAACAACCTGAACACGGAAGAAAGTAAATTTACCATCTCCCTCTGACATACTGTAAAGCAGAAACTTACATTGTTTACAATCATCACAGCAATTACAGATACCCACTGACCATTCAGTTGTGGACAAGAGTAAATTCGTATCCTCACCAGGTTGAGTTTGTACGAGTGCTTGATGGCCTTGGTATCCTTGTTCTTGATTTCCGTATGGATCTGATTGACCGCGATAAAATGACTGTGGATAAGGATCCTGGTGATATGGTTGGTAGACTAATGGATTTACAGTCGAATATCCTGGATGGTAACCATATACTCCACCTTGATAGTACGGATGATAAGGATATGCCATCGGGTTAATAGCTGTCATTCTGCTTATGTGTTTTCCTTCATATTAAAAATTTGATTGTAAAACGCACCGTTGTAGCTATTGTTTTAAAAATAATGTCACAGCTATTAGTTTATTACATATGTGTAATTTATTGTTTCCTCTCAACTGTGTCCTTTAGATAAGCATGTATTTATTTGTTTGTTAACTAGCGTCAAATTATGTTTACTTTTTACTTTTTTTTCTTTTTTCACTTGAATTAACATAAAAACATGCGACTGCGAGGAACAAAAAAGGAAAGCAGCACGAGAAACGAACATCTTATTTCAAATTAGAGAGAAGTAAAGAAAGATTGAAGTGTCAAACAGAAGGAGAGGATCTTATTTTTTCTTCATCTGTATGTGCAGAACCCATATTTAGACACAAAAAAAGTAAGATAAACAAATAAAATTCAAAAAGCAATTAAAACAAAAACATTTTTCACTTTTTTGCTACTCAAAATAAATATCAGTGTTTAGATAATAGAATTATTGATTTAACAGAGTCGTGACATAATCAAGCATCAGGCACCAGTCAAAATGCTGCTAAATTCGGGGGCCAGTTGATTATGTTACGTTAATGAGAAGGCGACAATATGTAATATACTTGAGTAGTTTGAGCAGGGTTAATACATTAAGAAGGTTAAGTATTTTGAGTATTCGGGTCAAGACACCTGTATAAAACTCCGTAAAAGTCTCTTGCTGTTAAAACAAACTTCCTAAGGTCAACACAACCCATACAAGTATCAGTAGCAGTTAGCTTATCAGAGTCGGCAATCAGTTATTAGAGTCAGTTAGGATTTGGAACATAAAAGAATCTAAATAACTTAAGTAAAGTAATTAAGCCATTAATTGATCTAAAAATTAATCAAACCACCGCAAACAGTTAGTTCTTTTTTCTAAATAAAAAATAAAATTCCCAAATTGCTAAAATCTGATTTAGTCCATGGAATCAGTTGCAATGATTGTGGTGATATTTATCTTGGGAAAACAATTAGGCAATCTTGCAGATGACTAGTGCAGCATGGTGCTCTAAAAAGTCTTTGCAAAAATGCTGAAGAGTCTACGTTTGACGACGTTATCTCTCCAAATGCCATAATGAAAACACTTTCAGGACGAGTTCATACAAATAAAACAAAAAAATCGTTTCACACCATACTCTGATGAACAAAATTTGAGACGCTTATCTTGTTTAGCTAGTAAATAAAATAACAATGTCAGATAATACATCAACAATAATTGATAACACCGCATCTGACGACAACATTTCTGTTTGTTCTTCTACTACCAAAAAATGAAATCTAAAATAAAACAAGACAGTACATTCTGTTCTTCATTTTGTCTTTCAAAATGGAATTTGCTGTTAAACTCCTCCTATAGCTCCATATGAAGAAGGAGTTAAAAGTTTTATACTCAAAAACCCGTGGTTTCAGCTACTTTTCAATTTATCCCTCCTTAACTTAGCGTTTACACTTCCTTACATCGGTATTTAGACTTCATTACTATTTCAAACTCAAAATAACTAAATGGTTAACAATCGAATTTTCATTGAAATAAAGCAACTTAAATTTGATTACTGGCGCAAACCAAAAATGAACATTTCGTTTTAATTTGATCTGACTATAGGATAATACAATTTTTAACTAATTGAAGGAATTTCACCATTTTAGCCCCAATAGGAGCTGCTCTGACAATGTTTTTACTATACTCTGGTGGAAATCGCAGATCTGTATCGTTTTTATAGCGTAAATTATTTAAAAAGCGAGAGAGGGTATTGCATTTTAAAATGGATAGTAGTTTAGCTTTAACTGTAATAGTTCTTTTTTTATACCTATGAGTGGTTTTTCGCCTTTGATTTCATCTAAAAATACCATATATTTCAACGGATCTGGCTAAATTAGGAACTAACAAAAAACGAAAAAATTTAGAATATGTTTTATTCTGGCTACTGCTCAATTAAGAAAAACGTAAGAGACTTAAATATATTTACATAAAATGATGACCACAATCTTAGCTAAAATGAGTATTACTAAATGTAAATTTTCAGATTGCAAAATTAATGCAAACTGTTCTGAATCATGTCATCTAGTAACTTCTTGACATTAGAAGTTCAAGACCCTATTCGACTTTCTTGCGAGGGCTTTCTTGCCCAAGATCTTGCACAAGAAATGTCACAAGATCTTGCTTTCTTGGTGCAAGAAGTCTCTTTGATTTATGGTGATTATTCTTGCTTTTATTTCTTGGTTTCTTGCAGGGAACCAACTTCCAGCAAGAATGGGCAAGAAACTCAATTCTTGCTTTCTTTTTGCAGGGAATCAACTACCCTAGTAGAACCCGCGCTTCATTGCACGCGAGGCCATAGTAATCTTGTCACAAGCTTGCCGCGCAATACTCAATCTGAATCGCGATCGCTATTGCGGACGCACATATCCGTCAATTTTTCGCGTTTCGCGAAAAATTCGCTTTGTATCCGGAAACAGTTCGCGTCAGGATCGCGATTGAGATGGTAGCAAGATTGTAACTGAATTTGCTTGTTTCGCCGCACGATCGCTATTGAAATCGACTGTTTCGCTAGTGATCGTGACAGGATCGTGTTTAAATTGCTTATATCGCGGCAAGATCTCCGCTTTACAGCAAACCATTTCAGGATGATGAACCTGTAATTGTGAGCACTGTTAGAAGCTTTAAAAGGTTCTCGAAACCTACTTTTCATAGTTACTACTCGTTTCCATTCTTTAACTAGAAGAGTGAGAAACATTTCTCAGAGACATGTGCGTATAAAAACAGGAAGATAGTTCAAATACTGTTACACAAGAGCATAAAAATTCCGATGAATTCTTAGGTAGGAATTTCTATATAGAAAAAGAATGAAAAACAAAAACTATTGATACAAATCTTTTGAAAAGAAAGTTTTTCTTAAGGTAGTGAAGACGCTGATTTCACCATGTTTTACCCGGTTTTCTTTTCGGGAACATAATGCAATCAAGTTGAATCATTCACCTCAGACTCTTTTCGAAGTTGAGCTTAAAATAAGTACACAGCAATTTTATTTGTAAATACGCTCTCGCTTTCTATAATTCTTCTTAACTAGTCATAGAAATTGTGATAACGGTGTTTTGAACTTTAGAAAAAGTTTGATTGTTATTTCTAAAACAGCTTCAGTCTTAGACTTCTCTAAGTTCTCTCATGTATTTCTCAATTATGGTTCGACATATAA